AGCGTCCTGTCCCGAGTGTAGGTCAAGATTGGATGCTCAAGTGAGCAACTCGGTAACCCGTGCTTCAATGCAACCTAAACTATCGCTTCCCGTCTCTTTCTGTCGCTCTCTCTTCTCTGCATCATCCCCTTTGCTAGAGCAAACGCTACGCTGCGTTGTCGCACGAGATGCACCTCCGGGCGGACGGGGGCAACTCGTGCGTGGCGGGGCTGGCGGAGGGTATCATGAGGGAACAGCATGCCACGGTGACAGGCAGGCCTTGGGAGGCTGGTGGAGAGGTATGGGTTTGCTGGGAATAGATGCCGGGAGAGTACGGTGGACGGTGAAAGGGGGTTGAGCTGGAGGAGGGAGATTTGGAAGACAAAGAGGGTTGCTCGTTGCTGGTATATCTCCTGTATTGTTGTTGTTGTTGTTGTTGTTGTTGTTGTTTGGGTTCGTGCCGATGAAAGGTGTAGACAAGGACAAATTCACATCTCTCTTGGAAGGACCTCTGAGGTGCACATCATCCATTCCCTCGCGCGTCCGACCTACCACTTCTATCCTCATACCGCCGTCCAAATTGACGAACTTACCCACAGGATCTGGACAGATGAGCAGACTCCACGACGGCCTCGAACAGCTCTTCCCACCCAGCTCCCCGCCCCAGCCCGCATATCCTCCCTTGATCGCGCATGGCGCCACTCTCTTCGACTCGACCCGTAAACTCGCTTTGCTCGAGTCCTCGTCCGAGGCAGACGTAACTCGCACAACGCAACCGCCGCCGCGAAACCACAAGAAGCTGTCGCATCAAGACTCGACACGCAAGGCCGCCCCCGCTCCCTCCATCCCGGCACACCAATCACCCCATGAGCTTTCGCTGCCTCCTGTGCCCGGTCATCAACGTCGAGATGAACGTCTGACGCGCAGAGCCCGAGCATCCTCGACCCCCGCTGACGGATCTCTGGAAGAACCAACGCAAAAGCTTCGGCAATTACAGGTCTCGGGCGCGGCCCGCGGAGGGCGTTGCAGGCGTGCTACAAAGCCGCACTACTCGGCCGAGCGGTGGCGGGACAAGGCCATCCTGCCTGTCTTGGTTCCAGGGCTAAGAGAGCAAGCCGGGCAGGCTGTACATGCATGCTGTGGAAGCGTCTTGCGGCCAAGGGCGACACGACTTTTCAGGGGACAGCTCTTGAAGTGAGTCATCACGATTTGGAAAGCATACGCGATTGAGAGGAATGGTCACGCCTAAAACATCACAACATGCCGAGAGGGGAAAACGTGAGGTAGTGACCTCGCCTGTCATGCATTCTCTGATAAAACGACTTGCGGTGAAGAGCGTCGAAGGAAGGTAATCCACAAGCAAAGGTCGTGATGTCGATACGCCTCTTCCCTTTCCCGAAGCAAGTAAAGTAAAAAAGAGTAAAAATATAAAGACAATGCCCGCGGACTATTTGGTATTACCAAACGTCACACGCGGCTTTCTCAAACCCCCCAAATTCCTGTTTTCCCTAATTGCCCCTTCCATCGCGCAAGGTTCATATCAGGTCATGATATTCTCCAGGGGGAGATGAGTGAAGTTTTCGGGCGTTTTGTTTTTCTCTGTGAGAGCCAGAACCAAAGCGACGACAATAAAAGTGTGTGATGATTGTTGCGCATTGCACGTGAGAAAGATGCCCCGACCAGAACATTGCGAAAAGCTTTGGTGTTGGCGGGTCATGTTTTACAACGACTCCACCGTTTCCTCTAAGCGCAAGTCTGGGCCTGGAGCGAGTTGGGTCGCACTCCGTCGGCGAATCGGACACCGGATCGAGATACGTGTCCGCTGGATATGGTCGGCTTGCCCTTTCGTAGGATCGTCTTCTTCGAGTCAGGAGGAGACGAAGAAAACGTCGGTTTCGTGGGTGAAATCGAAGACGGGCCTGCAGACGAGGATGATGTCTGGAGGCGTTCCGCAGACCCGTCGGATTGTCATTCGATACCGTGCTGCTGCTTGAGCTGCGCTAAACTGGCGCGGCGGGCCTCGAGGTCCTCTTTTGACTTGAGCATCTTCTCTGGCTGGTGATACAGAACTGCGACGTGTTAGCGAGGACGGAGGACGTGACAGGGGAGGAGTCAGCGACGCGACGTACCGATGAGGTATCGGTTCTGGAAGTTGAAGCCGTTGAGCTTGTCGCAGGCTTGCTTCGCATCCATTACGTCTTCATAGACAACGAAGGCGGTGCCCTTGGTGCCGCTGGCAATGCCCTGGCGCACCTGTCTGTTGAATAGTTAGTTGTGCGTGTCGTGGTCGACATCGAATCAAGGTGCGTACCGGATCGGGCCAAATTTTCCGAACAGGTCGAACAACTCCTCTGGAGTTACGTTGTAGCTGTCGTCGCGTTAGTCATCGTGATGGTCGTGATGGTCGATGTCAATGTCGGGTCGACGATCATCGTGTAGAGGCTTACCTCAAGTTCTTCACGAACAGAGCTCTGCAGGAACAGTCAGCCATGTCTGTCGTCACGCAACACAATGGAGGTAGCATCGATCGGGATCCGGGGTAGGAGTCAAGATCATAGGCTGGACGGCATGGGCCGTGGGGTGACCTCGCCCGGCTCCGGGTCTCGTGCCAGGGACGAAGGGCGTGTTGGCTGACGGTACCGGGCAGGGCGATTTGAAGAAGAATTCGGACTCACCGGTTGACTTCTGGGGCTAATTTACCACCGCGACTACTCATCTCTCGATGCTCGGTGACGCTGGGAATTCGGATCGGGTTGGTGAACGCTCGGAAAAACGACAAGGACGCGCTGGTTGATGGGGGAAGGGCGGGAAGATTGAGATAGGATCTGGAAGTTCTAGGAATGGAAAACGGGGAGCAGGCAGAGTAAATGAGGCGACGGACCGGCGGCAGTGCAAGGATTGGGTGAAGGTGCCCACGTGACACGACGGGCCCCACACACCGTCACGCGGTGGACCACTCATCATGCGTCCCGTCATCAAAAGGCAGTTGCGATCGGTACGTACCGGCCGCACCTGCCCAAGCAATTGAACTCTGTTGACTGCAGCGCCTGCCTCTGCAATGCATCAAGGTCCAGGTTGTCGTCGATACGTACCCGCTTCGGCTTTCCGTAGACGTGTCACCGAACGCCCTATCTCCGTCGTACTTCCAATTACTGCCATTGAGGGAGGCGCACTACATGCCCAACTGTCACTGACTGGCTGCAATTGCGCAGCTCCCTATGCAACAGGTCTCCGCTCACTAATGAGAACGATGCTCGTAATGGATGCGTTGGGCTGGGATAGAACCACATCGCTCGCTCCTGCAAGCTGGCCGACATGTCACTGCCGTCCGTCCAAGAAAGTTCACTGCAAGTAGCATCCGGCGTAGCAGGCGGATGCACTGAACTGAAGCCGGGCGTTGCACGGTTGCTGCAGCTGCAAGTCCAGCGGGAATGTTTCCGGGCCTCGACTAGACTTGCCATGTCTGCGGCCTCAACGTGAGGTGTCCAATGGAAGTCAGGGTACCCAGGTGTGAGTACTGCAAAGTACAGGCTGGAAACGTGAGCAGCCCGAGACGGCTGGGACGAAAACACTGGCCTGCTGCGTACATAGCGGAGATAGAGTTACAAGAGCCTGAGCACGCCATGTTTCTTGCTGCAATCATTGCAACGACACGGTGGGACACGCTCGAGCAGCCGATTCCCATGCACTGGTTCCTCAGGTTCGCGTTGCGTCCGCTCACTGCTCAGTGTCCTTTCCCAGTCCCAGTCCCAGTCCTAGTCAATGGAAGGTTGGTGAAGAGTGGACCTGGACAAGTCACACGATCGGGCTCAAGATTGCGTAACTTGATCAATGCGATAGGAGCCTGCCAACCGGGCCGCTGTATCTGGCCTCTTATCCCTTCCCTATCAGTGGTATCGCATAATCCGGGGTACGGAGGCTCTGGAAAGCCACCCTGGACGCTGCCGTTGGGTTCGAGAAGGTGACTTGGAACTCGTTGCTGTTGGACACTGATTGACTGATGAGATGAGCTAAGGCAAGGTACCTCGCCGTTCGTTACCTTGCCTTGCCTGCTGCAGCGGCTTGGCTTGGCTGTCCTGGGCTGGCTGTGGACACTGACGGAGATAGATAATGATAAGCATCTCCAATAAGTTGGGCCAACGTGGTTCATCGCTACACACCGTAACGCTGGCATGGCAGGCCAGGCTCTCCCTCATATTTGTACCTGAGTTGCATGTCTGTACCCCCCCGACTGAGATACTGATCAACAAACAAAACCGCAACCCCAAGCCACCACGACGATGGCTACCCGGGCCGCCGTTTTTTGTCACCCGTTGTTCTTTGCCTACATGTTTCACCTCAGCCCTGTGCCAACGGAAGAGTTGCTCTTCATTTACTGAATGGGTGCTCAAAGAATAGCACGAACCCCTAAGCGGTGTGGCTGTCTTGATGACGCTGCTGCCGAAGGGGACACCGCAAAGGAAAAAAAAAGGGTCCCTGGCAGACCAGACCCAGGGGACGGGTTCACTCCGGATGAGGCTAAACAACCACCCAACCGCAGCAGGTCTCTGGGACGAAGGTGCTGCGGAATAGCAACGTCTCCTCCTGAAAACAGACCTCACCAGCACCGTCCACAGTCCCCAAAACGCGGCATTCTCTTATTTGCAGCTGCCACTGCGCATTTCAGGTTTCTTCCCCTGCATTGAAATTTCTTTGACACCGCAATGGAGTGCCATTGACCGCCCACAGTGGACAATGGCCTGCCTCAACGGCCCTGGTCCACCCCCAAGGTAATCCAATTGCAGAAAGGCCAACCACGACCTACCTCTCTCCTTTGACGTCGGAGCCAAGGAGCTTCAACCTCTGCTCTTCAGGTGCCTTCTCACTGCACCTCAAACCCATCTCCGGAACATCTCACTTCCTTCCAAAATACCTCTCCCGACTTCAATTTTTTTCCATCCTCCTCAATTCTTCCATCACACACTCGCAATCCCACGACACCACCAAATATACACCATCGCCTTAGACCACATACACCAGCAATGGCGCCTGCACTAGCACCCGACTACTTCGTCGGTTTTGACGTATCCGACGACGACAAGCCCTTCCTACTCGATGTTCTGGCCCATCCCGGTACTCCTTGGGAGGAGAAGATGGTTGTCTCCGACATTTGCCTCTTCAGCGGCTTCGAGGACTGGTACCTGAAGCTGGAGTGCGCGGCCTCAATCAGAGACAACCGCCCGCCTTCTGCCTCCGAGCTCGATGCCCGAGATGTTCTAGCCTTCGTCCTGCGTCCGACCAAGGCTGCAGTAGCTAACGAGGAGCTGCGCAAGGGCTGGGCCGCTACCGATCAGTCCATCAAGAACTTGTCGGCTATGCTTCGGGTCCATCGGTCAGGCCTCACTGCATCGCCCCAGCCCGTCGAGAAGGAGGAGCGAGTTATCAAGCGAGAGGGTGGTCTGAAGCGGGAGCGTGACGATGACGCAACTGAGGCCCCCCGGCGAGTCAAGCGACAGAGAACCGCGCCCAAGGCCACCTCTCACTACTTTGCGCCTCCGGGGGATGAGCACGCACAGCAGCAATCGGCATCCACATCCCCGGCCGGTAGTGAACAACCCGATCCCTCAGCAATCCTCCGTCACGGCATCGCTACACCGCGCAACAGCCCCCGCAAGTCCAGCAACCCTGAGTCCGCAAATGCAAGCGCCTCTGGTCCGTCGGGGCCCAACAGCAGTATTCAGAAAGTCGCCGGCCAGGCAAATGGAGGCAATGACGACGTCGCCGGCGATTTAAAAGGCAACGGCCCGCAGACAGCCAGGGATCTTCGGGCAGAGAAGCCATCCTGGCCCACCCGACTGTCTCCGTCCCCATCGCCGTCCCCGACGACCTCATCCGGCCCCTTGTCCCCCCTGGATTTGAGCCATGTCAAATCGGAGGAGTAGGCGGGCCGTCGCCCAAACGGAAGCCTGCTGTCATGTCGCCCTTTTTTACACAATCCCCAGCGAAGCAATCGCCCAAGCAGTCTCCGAAAAAGCGAAATGGCCTTGTCTCGACTATTCCCTTTCCACCGCTCTCAGCGCCGCGATTTGGTCTTATTCAGGAGGAAATGGCTCATGAGCCCTTTTGGCTATTGGTTGTCGTTACTTATCTCGTCAAAACGGCAGGCACGCTGGCTATTCCTACGTTTTACAAGATCAAGGAGAAGTACCCTACACCTGCTGCCCTGGCTGAGGCAGACCCAAATACCATTATGAATATGACGCACCACTTGGGTCTTTCTGTTGTCAGAACGGCGGCGATTCAGCGATATGCACGGCTATGGTTGGAGAGACCACCTACGGCGGGAGTCCTTTATAGAGTAAAGAACTACGACAAACGAGATATTTTATTCAATGCCATTACACGACATACGGAGGACGAGCACGAAGAGGAACACACGACGCCAGCTGCTACAGACGATTCTTGGGAAATGGGCCACTTCACCCAAGGCAAATACGCGCTCGATAGCTGGCGCATCTTCTGCCGCGACGAACTCCTCGGACGGGCCCAGGACTGGAACGGCAAGGGCGCGGCACCCAACTTCCAGCCCGAGTGGATGAGAGTACGACCCGACGACAAGGAGCTTCGGGCGTGTCTGCGGTGGATGTGGATGCGAGAAGGATGGGAATGGGACCCCGTCACGGGCGAGAAGACGGTCCTGCGCGAAGAGATGCGGAAGGCTGTGAACGAGAAACGTGTAGAATACGACGAAGTTGGCGGGCTCAAGATCGTCGACGAGCCGCGATCAGAGTGAGTCTTATTGTTCTTGGGAAGTTACGAGGTCCTTGATTATTGATGAGACTGGATATGATGATGGTTGATACCCGCACCGATTGGGTGCCCTGCGCCTTGGAAACGACGATAGATGAGCTGCTGTTATAACGGCAGACGGCAGTGAAATAGTATACAGTGAACAGTAAAACAATGGCATGACCAACGTTCAGTCAGCTCGCTGAGCTGAGCACGATACTTCGTTAGTGACCACTCACATAACAAGGTTAGGCGAAGGTTGCCAGCTAAGGTTTTGCATCAACCAACGTCCATGAAGTTTACCCTTCCCATCCCGGCGCCCATAGCCTGGTAGTTGCGCCCTCACCGCCAATGGCCTTGTATCAGTGCTTCGACATCCTCGTGGTTTAGTGCCACCCTTCTTTTAAACATGTGCGGAAGCTAAAAACTCTCGTCACCCCGGCTGGTTATGAATGCGTAGCCTCAGCTCACCGTGGCGGGTTCATTGCATCTGAGGCCAAGTACTGCTTCATTGACTGTGTAGCGTCCTAATCTTGTCTTTGAGCGATTAGAATTATACTCGTAGGCGCGATTCTGATGCGTCGTAGTCTCGGTTAGTGTGAGCCCCCCGCGCCTGCCTCGGATCTCGCCCAGCGGTGCCCCGCACCGTCCTTGCGCGGGCAGGCTTCGGTTTCCCCCGCCCAGGTATGGTGAAAGCGAACCCCTGTCCCCCACTGCTGCTGCTGCTGCTGCCGCGGCGGCGGCGTCCCATCTCCGCCTGCGGCCTTTCGCATTTAGCGCTGCGACCCCACCTCTTACAGCGCAAACAATCCCGCATCAGGGGAGGTCGCAGTTCAGGTACATAATCGCAAGACAATCGTTTCCCGTTCCCGTCCTTCGTTCCCCCCCTTCTCTGCTTCTTGAAGAAGGAGAAAACCTCTCGCAGCTTTTGCTTCTTTTCTCTCTCATCCTTGGATATACTCAGGACCGGCACAATGGGGTCGCAAATTGACTCGCAAGACGAGTTCACCGTCCTCGTGACCGGCTTCGGCGTACGTTCAGCACACACCCGTCATCCCCACCGCCCGCCCGTCTTTTCCCCGAGTCTGCCCCTCACCACCAGATCGTCACTGCCCCGCCATTGCGACGATGGACATCATTGTCACTCCTCCCAATCCTCAGAGCACACGAGCCAACAACTCCCTTCAATTGCCTTCCGCTCCTCCTGCTACACTACACAACCCGGCTAACATAACTAACCCGCAATAGCCCTTCAAGGTCCAGTACCCCGTGAATCCCTCCTGGGAAATCGCCCACTCCCTGCCCGCGTACCTCCCGCCCCTCCGAGCAAAGAACCCAAAAGACCACCCGTCAGAAACGACGACGACAACAACATCCCGACCGCTCCCGCCCGTCCGCATCCTCGTTCACCCCGAAGCCATCCGCGTAAACTACCAGACCGTCCGCCACCTCGTCCCCCAGCTCTGGGACCCCGCGACGCACCCGCGCATCGACGCCGTCGTGCACATCGGCATGGCCGGCCCGCGCCTCTTCTACTCGGTCGAGCGCCGCGGGCACCGCGACGGCTACGCGTTCCCCGACGTCGACGGCAACCGCCTCGAGGACGAGGAGCGCCGCAAGGAGCAGGGCGAGGGCTGGGTCTGGTACGGCTGTCCCGATGAGATCGAGACCGAGTTCGACCTGGGGGACGTTTTGGGCCGGTGGAAGGCGCATAGCCCGGTATGTTTGTTCTTGATGCTCCATAACTCGTGGCCCCCTTTGTAAATACGCATAACGAGCGATGTGTTACAGGAAAGATGTATGTAAGTAGCCCGGCCGCTGACTCCAGACACACAGGACCGCTCCGACCTGCGCATATCCGAAGACGCGGGCCACTACCTCTGCGACTTCATCTACTTCTCCTCCCTCGCGCACCTCTGGAAGCAGCAGAAGCACCGCCGCGTCGTTTTCCTGCACGTGCCCTCCGACGCGTCCGAGGAGGCCGTCGCGACGGGCACGGAGCTGACGATCCAGCTCATCCGGTCCATCGCCGAGAGCGAGCTGGAGAAGAGGCGGAACAAGGGCGCTCAGAGCGCCGGGGAGGTCGTGGGCGAGAGTGACAAGATTGCGGTTGAGTTGCGGGTTTGAGAGTGAGAGTATGGGTTGGTGGGTTCTCGCGGGGGCGGGTTGTTTTTACTCAAGCATGGTATTTTGGCATAACGGTACATTTATGTGTTATTAGCTTGGTAGCGGAGTGAGGAAGAGAGAGAGAGAGAAGAAGCATGAGCACGGCAAGGTTTGATTTGGGGGTACATGGCATCCATTTACTTAGCCTGGAGTTCACCAGTTTCCCGTCTGAGGCGGGATATGAGTTGGTAATTGAATTGCATCAGTCTCGAATGTGTTGACGACAAGCAGTGCAAATACGTTACGCGGCGCATTTTCCACGCGCCCCCGACCAAAGATTTCAGGATTGCCAGAGGAAACGCCATTGCCGCTTCTGGCATCTCGTGGCCGACGCGGGACAGGTCTCATTCGTGCAGCCGCATTCGTCCACGCCGTGACCTTCTTGAGCTCACATTTCGGGACCTGAGGATATGAAGTCGGGCGAATGGTTTAGTGGTATAATACTCGCTTAGCATGTGAGTGGTCCAGGGTTCGATTCCCTGTTCGTCCATTCTTTTTGCTACTTGAGACTATTTTTGAGCCGTCTTTTTGCTTCAAGTTTGTGTATCGGATCTTATATTTGTGATGAGTGAGAATGGGGGTTTGGTGGTGAAGTTGGGGGTTTGAGTTTGGGGGTTGAAGGAGTGGGGGCGGGTACGCCGTGTAACCTCAACTCCGCTGCGGAAGTCGGGTCGGAGCATTTCACCAAGCATTCTCTATCATTTGGGAAGAAGAGGGTTTTATGGATGAGTCTACGTTTGGTCTGGTTTTACCAGATAGGATTGTGAATGGCGAGGTCGGTGTGAAAAACCCCTGGCCGCTCAGCTGGTGTGTGTCGTTTTCGTGAGCCTTTGTTGATCACTTCATGGACCTGCTCAATGGCATCGGGGACAGTATGCCTATCATGCCGTCAAGGAGTTGGTGTTCTTTCTAAAATCTCACGCCGATACGTCATCGGATGAACGAATCATCCATCTTCCTGACAAGAATGTCATATAAGCCAGGACTTCGCTTCCGGACTCGGCACCGCCCAGAACTGCGGACCTCCGAGCCCGTGAGATTCTCATAAGTTGTGTGGGAGGGCTCTTGGGACGGTTTGAAGACAATTGGCCATGTTCTACTTATTCAATGCCGTGTAACGGGGAATCATCCCATTAGCCTATCGTCCGAAGACTTGAGGGGGGGTCTTGCGTCGCTAGCAACGGCTGATGAATGACGGACGGGCTGCGTACAAGAGGAGTGCTATTTCAAGAGTTACAATCCATCAATAACTCTCCGTGTAGAATTCCAGTTACCATTTCAAGTGCCAACTGTTTTCACCTTTTCAACATGAAAGTAGCTCTACTCTTCAGTTACATCCCCCTCGCCATCTTGCAACTCTCACCATCAACGGCAGCCTCCCAAACACCCCTAACCACAGCCACCAAACCACCCCCAATCGTCAACATCAGAAACGGCACCTTAGCTGGCAAACACAACCCCTTCTACAACCAGGACTTCTTCCTCGGCATCCCCTTCGCCGCCCCGCCCATCTCCAACCTCCGCCTCCGCCGCCCCGTCCCTCCCCCACCATGGCCGAACTTCACCCGTCTCGCAGACTCCTACGGTCCCTACTGCATGGGCAACGCCCTCCATGTCCCCGGGATCTACCAACCCGACACAGCCCCGATGAGCGAAGACTGCCTCCACCTCAACATCATCCGCCCCGCCAGCCCCCCTCCGGAACCCAAGCTGCCGGTCATGGTCTGGATCCACGGCGGCGGCTTCCAGCACGGCAGCGCCGTCGACGCGCGCTACAACGGCTCCTTCCTCGTAGCGCAGTCCGTGGCGGTGGGGACGCCCATTATCTTCGTCAGCGTGAACTACCGCCTCGGCCTGTTCGGCATGATGAACGCCGCGGGGGTGGAGGAGAACCTGCTGCTCCGCGACCAGAGGCAGGCGCTTGCCTGGGTGCAGGAGAATATCGGCGCATTTGGGGGCGATCCGGGCAGGGTTACTATCGCGGGAGAGAGCGCGGGGGCCGCGTCAGTTGGGTATCATCTCATGGCGCGCGATGAGGGGTTGTTCAGCGGTGCGATCGCGCAGAGCGGCGGGCCGTTTTCGACGGCGCCGTTTCTGAGTGAAGAGGAGAAGGGGGTGCAGTTTGAGAGTGTGCTGAATGTGACGGGCTGCGCGGGGGTTGAGTGCTTGCGGTCTGTCCCGGCTGAGGTTCTGAATAAAGCGAGTCTGGCGGTTCCGTACTCGCATACCTTCGCGTTGGACGGCGACCTCGTCACCGACACGAGCTACAACCTCCTGCGCGCAGGTAAGTTCGTCAAAGTCCCGCTGCTCATCGGGACGAACAGGAACGAGGCCACCTCCGTGGTGCAGTACGCCATGCCGGGACCGCTGAATACGCACGAAGACTTCGCGGGCATCATCGCGGCCTCGAACAGCGGGAAGCTTCCCCCCGTCGCGATGGTGGAGAGGTGGGCGGCGCTGTACCAGGACGAGATCGACGCGCCGTCGGCCGCGGGGCTGGGCACGGTGCGGCCGGACCCGGGTCCGGCGCTGGGGGCGGAGTACGGCAAGACGGCGCTGTTTCTCGGGGACGCGTTTTTTCATGCGGGGAGGCGGTTTGCGGCAAGGGTGTGGGCTGAGAGCGGGGTGGCGTGTTATAGTTACTTTTTCGATGTGGTGACGGCGAATGTTGATAAGGAGACGCTGGGGGCGACGCATTTTCAGGAGATTCCGTTTGTGTTTGGGGATAAGAACGGGGATGGGTGGGAGGTTGACCCGTTTCCTGAAGAGGAGGGACCGAGGAGGAAGTTTGAGGAGTTGGCGGGTGTAATGAGTGGGATGTGGATCAGCTTTGTGGTGTCGGGGTCGCCGAATAATCATCACCAAGGTCAGGCCTTTCCATTTCCCCTGGGCTGTTTCTTGAAGACGTTCGCTGACATAACACAGAATCAGTCGGTAATATCACTTGGCCGATGTACACTCGAGAAAAGCCGGAGAACATGGTGTTCAGTGCTGTGGACGGTCTCGGCCTGCGGCCTGATACGTGGAGAGAGGAAGCCATTCAGATGTTCTTTGATCTGGCGGATATGAATAGCAGACATCCATGAAGAAAGATTATTGTCATATGACGAGGGATTTAATCACAAAACTAAGGTTGGCTATCCCGACACTCGAGCCTTCCTGCCTTTGAATTGAGATATCGATTTCTGTTGATAGAAAGCAGTCAGAGGAAATACTCTTACTCACACCCAAGCCTCTCGTGAAGCACAACGTATATCACCTCTGTTCAGCCCAGTACATCACATACCACCCGGCAACCATCGGCGGCGCAATATACCAGAATTGGCCGGCGAAGCGTCTCCAGACGTTGAAGATGGCGTTGTGAGCGGCTCCAGCTAACGGATTGAGACGTTTTGGTGCGATGCCGTACGTGATGATTCCGCTCTGTTTCTGTCCTCCTAGAGCAAAGTCAGTGGCCTCAACTAACACGCAAGGCGGATGGTGTACCAATATTTCCCCACCATCCTTTCCAGCTGCGTATCACGAGTCGTCAGTGAAGAGATCCCGCATGGAAGTGTAAGACATCTTGGCTTTGGCCGTCACTTACATGCCATATCTTCCAACTGGGATGTGTGGGCCTGACTGGAAAACCTGGGTTGGCCTCATATTTGTGTTTCACTGATTGGATTTCGGATGTGAAGCAAATCAAACATGGGCAGGTGGAGATGATCCTGCTGTTTTAGTAAAATTCCCTCTAGTATAAACAAGAAATGCTTAACAGCTATCTTCGGGGTCGGTCCCCGGACTCGGACTTGAGACTCCGCGTCCGGGAACTTTGAACGGGGAACGACATTAGTTACTCGTCCATCATGCCTCTTACATCGGCAACATTGGCACTGAGTCCAGCCATCCAAGACCGGAAAAGTCACTGGACCAAAATGCACCCATCACATCCAACTCACTATCCTCCAAAGGGCCGCTATCCAAGCTCCCCTGCGGCACCGCGTAATCACCCGCCATCTCCGTCAAAATCTCCACGCACTTATCAATAACCTCCCGTCCCCCTTGTTCCATAGCCCTCTCAGCCGATTCTTCATTCATCTGGGCCTCAACACCAGCCAGTACAACCGCAAAGAAGACATAATCCTTCACATTATCCTGCCCAGCTCTGATGCGTGCTTCAGCCCACTCCACCCCCGCACGGAGAAGCCACCGCTCCTCCGCGATCCGCAACGCCGAGCCCGGCTTCGCGACACCGTTCTCAGCTACCCGCGAGGCCAGGTCCGCGGCCAGCATGCTCGTCGCGAGGTGCTTGGTGATCCTGAACGAGCCGGAGCCGCACGTGACGAGACGGTCGAAGTCGAGACACGGCTCTTTGATACCTGATACCATGCGAATTGCTTCTACGAAGGGGTTGTCCGGGTATGAGGCCGGTAGGGTGAGGTAGGATAGTTCCAGGGCAGCGTCGACGCAGGTTTTGTGTGAGTGGCAGAAGAGAGGGTTTGAGAGGGGAACGAATGGCATGTGGAGGATGAAGAGGTACCGCATGAGGATTGTGTCGCAGAAGCGGTGCTGAAATTGGGACGCTTCAGGACGCAGGGAGGAGAGAGTCTTGTTTAGTAATTGGCGTGCGGCCTCCAATTCTGACCCGAGCTGTAGCACGGAAGCGTACCCTCCAGTCGGTTTGATTTTGCTCCAGTGTTTTGCTACAGATAGTCGAAGTCCGATGGAACGATTCAAAGCGATCTGAAGTGACATGTCCGTAGAAGCGTTAGCAGTATTCAAAGCCGGCAACGTCTCCATATCGGGCCCAATCTGATCATCGTTCAAATCAGCCGGGAGCTCGCAATCATAATCATCCTCCGAGATGAAAGGCGACTGCCCAGAGTCAACACTCGCATCAAGCACCAGCTCCATCACAGTCAGCCATAGCCGCCGCCGCATCTGGGCCTGGAACACCGACATCCGCGGCAGCTTCGTTGGGTCCCGATGGAGGCTGATGTATATGGCGGACCGGAGCAACGTCCCGTTGAGGATCCACACGCGGTCGCCGTACAAGGACTCCGTCGCCTGCTGAGCGAGGTGGACCAGGCACATAATCTGTATGCCGCTCATTGTCAATTTTCTCTTCTCGGACGACTCGAGCCATTCGCGGGCTTCGTGGATCCACTGAAGAGCTTGTGGTCTGAATGAGAAGGTTCCATCGCTGACGCATGCGCCGAGAGCCATGCATAGCTGGAGAGTGATGATGAAGTTTGTGTGGGAGGTTTCGTTGTTCTCTAAGAAGGCTTTATGCTCCCGCTTGAGTGTTGGTACGTGGACGATGCGGTAGATCGTCTCGAAAGTGCGAAGATAGTTTCCGAGTAACTTGGACGAAGTGTCTTTATCCGGCAGATGGGACCCATATTGCCCGGGGAACCGCAATAATAGACGCTGCGCTTTGAGACTCTCCCCTAGAGCCCGGCACCGTTGGAGACCTTGCCAGCACTCCCCTTGTTTAGACACCTCCTCATCTAGCCATTTCAAGGCTGGTAGGTTCTGTCAGAAAGGTAAGACACTTATGAAGAGAGGTGATCGAAGCACAAGTGGTGCGACATACCAGAATGACTGAGTGCAGCCAATGACTCGGAGAGAAGTATCTTGATTTGGCCATCAACAAAGTCGGCGGAGCCGAGACGTCGCTCAACGTAGCAATGGTGGGCGACCCGTCCAGCTCGGCGCGGGCGCCCTCCGCTGCGTGTGCGGGTGACTCTCCCACAATCGTCTCGCCATTCCACGTTGAAGCTGATGGTTTGCTGATGAGAACACTAGGAAAGAGATGATGAATGCCAAATTCCGGATTCCGATGCAGGCTGCGGCGGCGGCGGGTCGGGCTGCTGAGACGAAAGCGGTATTGTTCCTGCGGCTTCGGGCTGCGTAGACTCATCGCGCGCCGGACTTTTCTGCATCTCAGGAGGGCTTTTCCATCGTGCGGACGTAGACGGCTCGGGGTAGGCGCATACCCTGTTTTTTGACCGCTGGCAGCTGCTGCAGGGGCGCTGATGATCGCACCGCAGCTTTCTCTTTCGGCATTCCGTGCAAGCGAGGGTTCGTCGGCGCCGAACCCGGAACTTGGTCTGGTAAGACCCTTCCATCACCAACAATGAGAATTATTGACCAGTTCCTCATTGTCGTGTGGGAGAAATAGTCGTGGGAAGATGGAAGAACGGCGGTCGTGGACATGGACTACGGAGTGGGGCCCGGGCTTCGGGATCGGACTCGGACTCGGACTTTGAGTCCGGTGTACTAAGCCCATGGTAGAACTCATATCCGCGGTGAAATTCAACATCGACGAGCCAATTGAATGACATGAACTTGAAAACTATAAGGAGATGGAATTGCATAGTTCATTGGTAGATTATGATAAAAATCAGAGTTATACAACAAGCAATAAGAAACCTCTCAGCTGAATCGAGTACAGCGCGAGAACCCAATCCCACGGCACCTATTCTTGAAGATGTATCCAAATCAGTCCGATTATCAAACGACTCTTTTCCAGATCATAGTCTTGATCTTGTCAGCATATGCTCTTTACCTATTCCTTCTACAAAAACCAATACCCGGCATACCATACAACAAAGATGCAGCGAACTCTCTCCTGGGAGACATCCCCGCACTCCTCAATAGCCAAAATCAAGACATAACGCTCTGGGAATGGGTCTCTTCCCAATGCGAGAAGCTCCAGTCACCCATCATCCAGCTCTGGCTGGCACCCTTTTCGAGACCCCTAGTCGTCCTCTCCGACTTTCGTGAAGCCGAGGATATCACTATGCGGCGAACCAAAGAGCTCGACCGCTCAGACAGCCTCGAACATATCTTCGGTCCTCTTTTCCCTCAGTTTCACATGCTCATAAAGAGTCAGGATCCCCTATACAAGAGGCAGCGAAGGTGGCTGCAAGACCTCATGACGCCAGGCTTCCTCCACAACGTGGCCGCCGAGCCGATCTACCAGAACGTTCTCAAGGTCGTCGAGCTGTGGGAGCACAAGGCGCGGCTCGCCAGGGGACGCCCCTTTGCTGCGTTTGAGGACATTTACTACGGTGCTTTGGACGCGGTGTTCTCGTTCTCGTTTGGGGGAGCGTTTGCTCATTCAGCGATACCAGCCCGACTTGAAGCGGTCGCCTCCATGGGAGGGGTAGAAGAACCTTCTGAACCTGGAGGGCCTGTGTTGTTTCCAGTAGAAGCGATAAACAAGGTCGTCGACGCGATTCTGACGCTGGCCGAATCTGTCGAGGAGGCGAGGAAAGCCGTGTTTCCGAGGTTTCGGTCCTGGTATATGCACCACACTACGCGCATCAAGGAGGCCAAACGGATCCGAGACGACTTTATCGACCGCGAGATTGACATCGCGGTGGAGAGACTCGAGTCTAAGGAACCTGTATCCTCGGCAGTCGACCACATGATGCACAGAGAGAAGCTTTTCGCTGAGAAGGAAGGCAGGAGCCGGTGTTCAAGTCTGTCGGAATGCACAGCGAGGTATGTTTATATCGCCAACCGCTTATTCGATGAGACTTTACTGAATCTAAGAGATGATGGCAGGTCTTTGGCTTCTTGATGGCAGGGCACGAAACCAGCGCTACCACCTTTGGATGGGGTTTGAAGTACCTCACAGATCATCAGGATGTGCAACACAAGCTTCGTGATGAGCTACGCAAGCATTTTTCAAAAGCAGCCGCACAGAGACGACAGCCAAGTTGCGAAGAAATCACCAAGACCACGATCCTATACCTAGATGCCACCATGGAGGAGATCCTCCGCTGCGCGGGAACCACATCCGTCACCGACAGACAGGCCCTCCACGACACCACCATTCTAGGCCACCGGATTCCTAAAGATACAAACGTCATCCTGGTCACCATCGGCGAGAGCATCATGAAGCCTGAGTTCGTCATACCCGACTCGCAACGCACAAAGACGGCCCTCAACGCAGCGAGCCGCATCCGCAGCTGGAACTCGTCGCCTTATCCCGTAGCGGACTTCCAGCCCGCGCGTTGGCTAGTGCCGTCGAAGGAAGACGCCGACCGCGAGGTGTTTGATGCTACCGCCGGGCCGCAGATGGCGTTTGGACTGGGGCCCAGGGCTTGTTTCGGACGGCGGCTGGCGTACTTGGAGCTTAAAATGTTTACGGTGCTCTTGTTCTGGAATTTTGAGCTTCTTCGCTGCCCAGATGAGCTATCCGGGTACAATGGGTGCGTCGGGCTAACTGTCAAGCCGATGCAGTGCTATGTCAGGTTGAGCAAGGTATCATGGTGAGTTAGAAGGCAGCAACGGCAACGTAGGATCGTGATGTGCTGTAGACGACATCTCTCCAGGTAATTGAGATCCTTGGGAGCGTTTTCGTAGCCCACTCTTTGTATTCATTAGCAACTTGCGCATGGAAGATTGCTCGTACTAGTGTATCCTGCGCATAGTGGGGGTAATCCAAGATGCATCTTGATCGAAGTATCTTATACGGCGGCGGATGAGAAGGAGAATTACGGGATTAGTTCCTGCTAGCCCATGTTTTTCAGGATCGTCAAGCATTATTATCGCTTACACCACCCGGACACGGAGCCGAAAGTGGGTCCAGAACCGGCGAGAAGTCGGTGGGCGGCGCCGGCAAAAGCGCCAAGGACGGTCGGAAGTGGACCACAACTCGCAAATCGAGTGCACACCCGTGCGACCTCGCGGGTTGCGAGCCAAAAGGTCCCTATTTTATAACGTTAAGCCGATTTAACGTTTTCTGTCGGCCATGTTTTTGTGGATAGCATTTCGACCTTTCTCCGGAAAAGTGTGTGAAACTCATAAGTCGACGAGTACGCCTGTGATTAGGAAAAGAACAGTCAAAGACCACACACAATCACACTCATCCACCCAAAATCGAAGCAAAATGAGTTTCCTAGCCCGCAATACTTTGATTCGCCGACTACGAGCCGTGCCGACGGCGGCAAAATTTGCGCCGCTGATGGCTGCGGGCTTCATCGTCACAATTTTGAATCTTGGGCCACCGCCATCCCCTGATGCTCCTTCAGCATACGATGGTCCTCAACATGAGCAGAAAAAGCAAGCGTACCCAATCCTAGGATGGACTGGGAGCTTATAATGTTCGTTAACATGTCTCATTTTTATACACTACATGGCGTACCTAACCAGACACAATGAATGGATGTTAGAGCCGGCGTCTCCAGCACAAGTCCCGAAGCGAAAGCCCCACCACCGCCGCCTTGCACCGACGGTCACCACCTCGCTGCTCTTCTCGCGTCACATCGACTAATCGCCGAAGGGGCAAATACGTGCACCGATTCGTACATTAGCAGAGCTTCTATCCGAGACAAACTCATCAGCCCACGGTCTTGCCGACGACTTCGATCGATTCGCCGGTGTTCACAAGCTCGAATGTGAGATAGTCAACGCATCTACCGCAGGGAACGTTGGCCTCACTAAACACGTCAAAACGTAACCTTGGAAGATGCCTCTGCTTCATGGGAAGTGCAATCTCATCATACTTCCGTTGTCGAGGGTTAGGGTTAGAGCTCGAGTCGCATCTCAACATGCAAATGGAGCCCCTATCATATGGAAGGTAAAGAACAGCAAATACTATGCGTCACACAGGACATATGCCGAAATACACTCAGTTGAGTTGACTGTTGTTAAGCCAACGGGCCAAAAGGCACAATGTGCGGTCGAAATTCCGAATCCCGAGTAACTACGTCGTCGAGCTGTGACAGACGGCACAATAGGGGGAATAGGCCTGTCTGCTATTTATTTGATGCAACAGACCATGTCGAGCCTTCGGTTAGAGATCACGCGTGCGCTATGCATCCTGTTTGTAACTTTCTGAAGGAGGTCGACCGCCAGTTTTCAATGTAAACTGCAACTCAGATTGCTTTGTTTACCGGTCAAACCTGCCTGTTACGCTGAGAAAAGGAAAAGAGTGAGGTCCACATTTCCGGGGCAACTCTTTTCTGAGCTGGCGGTTGTCACCCTTTCATATGGATCCAGATGCACCGTCTGGGCTTGCTTCGCTCAAGCCGGCCGTTGGGTGGACAAGATAAGAGAAATTTCGGAGTTCCACAAAACGGTGTCGCGCAAGGTCAAACCGCTTTGTCCGTGTTTCACAGATTGTACTGTCACATTAGGCGCATCCGAGACCGAAAACACCCTTTTGCGGCCGCTGCAGCAATAGGAGAACGAAATCGTTGAGTATAAAGCGCGCAACCCGTACCTATGGCGTGCCTGAAGCTCGCGGGAGGATGTTATCTCTGCAAAGTGATCTACGTGCACAAGTCATACACATATATATAATTTATTACGCCCCGATAAAATAATATAGCTTATCTTCATACTCTTCACCACCCGCAGCTTACATCCTTGCCTACCAGAAGCCCGTGCCAGTGTTATCTATTTACCTATATGTCATACTTTGTCAATGCTTCTCCGTGTTATGGTTGCACGTGGGTTTATTCGCAGGCACTCTTGAGTCCATTCCCCCAAGTCATGCGCAACTCACGACAGATAAGATCAATCACACCTAAGGTGAGCATTTATAGGCTTGACCCCCACTCTGGCGAGAATGAAGCCTTTGCGACACTCGATAAGAAGCCGCTTATCTTGAGTCTCGGCATTCCCGACGTGTCCACACAACAATCAACCAAGACCCGTTATTCCAGGAACGGCAATTGAGTCCTCGGAATAACAGACGTCAACGTCAGAAATGATCGGCGCAAGTGCCGCTTCTCTGGTTTGAGGTGCACTTTCCTCCTTAGGGCTGGGGGGATGTCATCGTGGACTATTCATAGCTCCCATAGTTGTCACGTACCTCCTTCAGCACGTCTGCTGCAATATCTCTACGATGACTTCTTATATTGAGTCGTGCCCATGCCAAGGTCTTATGCATCGGGTTTGTCCGCTGCTGCTTGAAGCTCACCCTTAATCATTTTGTCTTCAACGGTTCTGCGATCGGGACACGATTTCCGATTTACCGATTTATACCGTCACTCCACAACAGTACGCGGAAGACTATGCCCCTCCAGTGATTCGTTTGCCTTACGAGCGGAGCTGTCCTTAATCAATATCGTCTAAGACCCCCGGCGTTCGCACGAATCGAGTGCCGACGATCCTTTGAGATCACAACTCGATATACAGTCAAGACAAAACCAAGTGCCAAGGGTCGATATCGAACGGAGCGCCCGCGGCCCGCCACGCACAGCCTCGACATCTTACGAGACTAGATCTTATCAGCAGAGCTGTGCGTCAGTTCTTAGATATCTTCGCGATCAACCCAACTCTCTCGTTCACTTCTACCATATACCCAGCATCGCACTTGGCTCGCCTTCCTGTCGTCCACAACTCCACGCCAACTCGATATCACCACGAGTTTCAAGTTGTCGGCAGTATGATCTTCTCCAACATCATTGCGCTTGCTGTGCTTGGTCTTGGTGCTTCAGTGGCCTCAGGGCACAGCATCGAGTTCTTGGAAACCCCTCTACTGGCCTCAGGACGCAGCATCGAGGTGTTGGAAACACGGCAAGATGCGCAACCAGCACAGAATGTCACCGTTGACGACTGTTCCTTCTTTTCCGAAGACGGGTACGCATTGCCCCTCCCCATCTTCAACTGTGACTCTTGCAACCTGCTGACGCATCGAACTATCTCCAGCATCTTGCCAGAATGTTGGCAGGTTCTCGAAATGAACAACCACTTGAATGTAAGTTGCCCAGCCACTTCTTCCTAATGCAGAGCGAGCCGAGCTAACCCCCTTTGCAGCACTGGTGGTCCAACAACTCTGCGAGGTGCGAGGCTTCGAAGAAGGGCTTTGCTCAGTGTTACTTGGACTCCGCCGTATGAAAGACCCCGCCTTTGGCACGATCGATGATACAAGCGACCTCAATCTGACGTGACACAGGGTCTCATTTCATGGCAATGCGACTTCGTGGCCCTCAACGCATGCACTCCGCCTCCCAGCGGGCGCGACGCTGGCTATGCCTCGTATCAGGAGTTTTACGTGAGTATTAGCCGCAGATTGCATGGCGTCTCAATGCTAATTATGTCTTTGTTAGGTCATCTGGAACATCTATGGTTAGATTCCTTGCCGTTTGAATGCTTTGATCTCTCGAGCAGCCCGTTGACGCAGTGTATTAGCCATCAATCTCTTCTGGACCAATTACCATTCGTCGCTACTTCAGGGACAGGCAAGTGCCATGTAAGTCTCTACTACACTCTATTCGTTTGATCTGTTTGCTTACCAGTCTAAAACAGTGGCTCAGTGGCCGAGATCGTCAAGACCGTCGCGCCGCCAACGACGAAGAACCCCAAAACACCGCTGTTTTCCCCGATCTACCTGGTCGGCCTCGGTCAATTCGCGGTGAGTAGGACGATGGCCCGACACTATTGACCGGACCAAATGCTGACGGGTGAAACAGGCGTTGGCTCCTCTCCTCGGTGGTTCGGTTGCAGCAAGCATGATCTTCGCCTCCCTGATCGGTGTTCTGGGTGGTGGATCTGGTCTCTTCAATCTTCTGTTCCCTCAGAAGACGGTGTACGACGTGCCCTGGGAGGGCTTGTCAGATGCCCTAGGGACGAACGTCAACGAATTTCAAAAGAATGTCGGAGCAGCTTTGACTGAAATTCAGACAAACTTTGACACATTCTATGCGCTTACCTCGAATGGTGGCTTCAGCCAGGTAATTGCCTACTTATTATGCTGTGCAGAGTTGAACTGACAGTCGGTCAATAGAGGCTCAAGACGAACTTACCGGAGGACACCGATTTTATGTACCACAACCTCAAGAAATGGGTATTCAACCAGGCTCTGCAGCAAGCAGGCTACTTCGCCGTCAAGAAGTGCGTTGGCTTCACCCCTCAAACATTATACCAAATGGAGACTAACAAGTAGCTTGCAGTCCCGGTGTTGACCCGCGGGAAATTCCTATTGAGCCGTATGATTGCTCTAAGTTGGACGACAAGATGACGTGCGGCCCAATTTGGTTTGACGGTAAAGACTCATACGGCCTCGCGAAAGCAAACGGTGAGACTATGGCATTTGGGAAATCTGTCTCAGGACTCGACTAATCAGTCCTGGATGTTTAGATATTGGCATGGATCGCATGAAGGAGATCCTCGACGTAGCGTTTTCCAAGAACTGGACGACGCCGAGCGAGCTCTACATCGATGCTCAGTCGTGTCGTGGGAAGAACGGGTCTGAGGCGTTTGATGTGAAGGACCTGACACTGAGCTGTGTGGTGTGTTGACCCTCTTTCGCAGCCTGCAATTGGCGAAGAATTCACGGAGCTAACAACATGCGACATCCAGTCTAACCTACCTGTCTGCGAGTTCAACTTCGACTATAATCCGTATGAGACTACCTGGGCCCGTGTAAACCCACCGCAGTTTACCAACTGTCCCAACATGAGGGGTTGGGGAGTTCCTCCCTACTGGAGTAACGATGCCGGAGTGCCGCTGACCTATATCGGTCCCTTTTTGGTAAGTCAAGACACCCTGAAAGACTACTTTCCAATAGCAGCATATCGCTGACAGCATGGATTAGATGTCTGGCGTGATTTATAACGAGAAGAGCGGATGAGTTTGTGCTGCTTCTTTGTGGATATTGGCTTTGGATCAAAAGCATTTAGAACATGATTACTGGATACCTGTCCCATGAAACGTATGGTAGAGCTTGGATTTGTTATTAAACGCTGTTATTGGAGTATGGCCTGATCAATTTGTGAGATTAGCAAAGGGCTATCGACACAGAATCATAGCGGACTTGCCCGTCCTCTTGTACTACCTGCCTCCGCCTGGAGGGTTTTGATCGACCTTGGGAGGAAGTAGATGGCGATAGCAAGGTCCTGTGAACCACCAAATCGTGTTATGCGATGAGATGCAGAGGGTGGTTTAGCTACCAAACCCGGCAGCGTGCACAATGATACATAGCAACCACGGATGACTGTGATCCACCATCCCGCCCAGGACGCTGCTCGCGCGGCAGTCCTGATCCTCGCACATGTGAGACGCCAAGAGAAAGTGCGCGTAGAGACCATGCGACTGGGCTCCAAATCGGCTTTTGGAATACTTTGACGCCTCTGATGCCGCTGTCACTGGTCCAGCATGGAGGTATAGGTGCCCTGTTCCGCGTGTCCGAAGACGATATCTGACACTATGCAACGCTAGAAAAGCATGGAATCCATATTCTCTTTACGCTGCGTTCTGTGTTCAGGCCTGGTCCCTTCGGCGTTGCCGCCGCAGATTCCCTGTCGTCAGAAAGCGAAGTAACGGTACGCCCTTCATAGAGAGGAACCCTGGCTTCGCCCGTGTCTCAACCCCCACGCATACCCTTGGTCAGCAAAGATGGTTTAATAGTAGGCAATGACAAAGACACTGTATTGAGAGATACCCAGTCTCCGTCATGCGGGGTTAGACCACTTAGCTCCTCACAAATCTCATGTACGAATCTTCACGTTCCAGGGGCGGAGCGTCTTTCATGATCACATACCCGTCCGCATCAACCTCCCATGTGACGTGATTAGCCCTATGTGCAGTGCTGCCGCCTCTACCTCTGGCTACGAGACACTCGAATGTTGCTTGAGAGGCTCTGGCACTGTCCACATAACGATGATGACCTGCGCCTGTTTCCGGACGATAGTCAATTTGGGTGTGTGTCTGATAGTGCCGAGGATACGTGGGAACCTGTGTAGATGTAGGTTCATTCACAAGGCGGTCGTACGCCGTTGATGCTGGGTATCTAGGGTTGGTTTCCATCTGGTACGAGTTAGACGAGAGAAGGGTGCAGAAGGGTTCAGAGTTGAGGGCTGGGGGTTGCGGAGAGAGGAAGAGTACGCGAAGGTGTTCAGAGGTTGCTATGTCTTTTGCAGGTTGTTTCTGCGACGCCAAGATCTTCCAATAGAATCAAAAGTACTTATATTTACCACGGCGGCATCTTGTGTTACCATAGGACGCTGCATCACTGCTCTCCGTGCGCCCGTGTAACTCCGATCTTGATTCACCATGTATTAATGGGATATCTCCAGCAACAACGCGGTCTCTTTCGATTTTTGAAAGCCGATACTCCAGGTCCAAGCTCGTCTTCATCTGCCTCCGAACAATCAATCAGTAGGCAGCACGCAGTTCCACGCTGTCGACAAATTCGAGTTCTGAACTCCATCCCATCGACTCTCATACGGATACGAGCAATACTCTGCCTCACGTTAGCAACCACACCCACAACGCACTTACAAAACACAGACAGCAAACTTACTCCTCTCAGCCAACTCCTCGTCCTTGCTCTCACCCCCATACATCGCCCCCACAACCTCCTCCACCGTCCTCCCGCCCTCAACCCACTCCACAAGCGCCAACAACGCATTCCCCCTCGGCTCCAGCCGTCGCCCATCAAGCGGGTACGTCTGCCCGATATCCCACGCGCCTCTCCCACCACTACAATGCCTCATCCCCGGGATGAAGAATAACCTGTAGAACCCGTCCATCTCCGCCTGCGTCAGCCCGACCACGCGCTTCACGCCCTCGAAGAACTCAGAGCTCAGCGCCGGCGTGACGGTCTGGTCCGCCCGCCCGTGGTACTGCAGGATCTTGCCGCCCCGCGCGCGGAACGCGGTCAGGTTGCGGAAGTCGGCGTTGATGCCGCCTGGGTTGAGGGTCACGGCGAAGTCCATCTGCGACTCGTTGAACGCGTGCGGCGTCCAGGAGGTGTCGTTGTACACCGCACCTCTCCAGAAGTCCTGGCCCTCCGCGCATTAGTACACCCCATCTCAAACTCGATCAAGGGGTTCTCACCTGGAGAATCGTGTATACCAACTCCGCCCTCCCATCCACGATATTATCCGAAAACACACCCGTGTCCGCCCCGAGCCCGAAGGCAGGATACACAACCCTCCCCTCAGAATCCTTAATCGGCTCATACGCCCTCCTCACAGACTCAACCTGCTCCGGCCCCAAACAAACCTCCCCCTCCTCCCAGTTCCCCTCCCCGCAAGCCATCACCGCGGGATCAAACACATGCCTCAAAGGCTCATCAACAATCCCATCCTCCACCCCGTCCGCAGCATCAAACATCTCAACCTGCCTCCTCACAATCTCCTCCCACACCTCGTTCCCTACGTACCCCTCCGAGCCAATATCAGGCCACCCAATCCTCCTCGCCAAAATCCCCTTGGACGCCACAATCCTCAACCAATCCACCCCCGGCGCGCCGACCAGCACCCCGTCAAAGTCCCCCGGAAACACCGCCGCCTCCTGCAGCCCCTGCCGTCCGCCCGTGCTACACCCCTGATAATACCTCGCCTTCTCCCCCCGGCCGTAATACGCGCCGACGACCCTCCGCGCCGTCTCAACCTCGACATGCACCCCCCTCGTCCCAAAGTCCCGCACCGTCTCCGGCTTGCCCAGAAAGAAATCCCACCCCGCCGCGCCGTCGTGTCCCGCGTTCGTCCCGAAGGCCGCAAACCCGAGCTGCGCGCCGCTCTGTAAGACGGGGTAATCGACGCAGCCCCCAATCCCGCCGGTCCCTGACGCGAGCAGCCGGGAGTTCCAGACCTCAGGGGCCGGGAGCCAGCCCTCCACGCGCACGGCGCTTGAGGGGGATGTTGACACGTCGAGGACGACGCGGCAGATTGATGCGGGCGTCGTGAGGTTGAAAAAGGCGCCGCCGCAGGAGGGGACTTGCGGGAGGAGGAGGGTAGTGTTGGCGGGGTGGAGGGAGGCTGATATGAGGGCTACATTTGGGAAGGCGAAGGTCGTTGCGGTGCAGTTTGGGCTGAATGCAAGGGAGGGCATTGTGAGGAGCGAGAGTATGACGGCGAGACACGGCTTCGTTTTGAGTTTGAGAGGAGCCGTGAAAGAATTACACGCAAACTTGAGAGTATGTTTCTGATGCCACATCATCTAAATCAGACTTGTCGTCCGGGACATGATCTAGAGGTATACCAACTCTACGAGACTGGCCCGAGGAAAACGACACCTCGGACAGAGTCGTAATCGGACTTCGGCGCCGGTTCCCGCAGAGACAACCACCACCACCGCCTGCGATGATCCTCCGGGTCTACCCCGCGCGGGGTCCTCAGAAGCGTTGCGGGGAAAGAATCGACTCTTTGCCATTCGTTCACCTGGCCATTTCAAAGACATGTATCTGGATATTCGAAGTTGACAAACCGATGTAGAGGTCTGTCAGTGAATGCGTGTTAGGTGGCTCGTCGTCTTCGTCAGAGAACGACGCATCATTGCATACTTGGCGCAGATCGGCGGCCACGGACGAGAGACCGGAAAAGCGGGGCCATGTCGGGGCCGGGTCCGGATACCGGAACGGGCAACTCATCAAATCATCTTTGCGGGAGCCGGCTACAGGGGATACAACCTTTACAAACAACCACTTGCGAGTTGGACAACGATTTCCAATTACATTCACCACTTGACAACATTACCCATCAAGAGGGGAAAAGAAGAAGAGAGGGAAGAGGAGGGAGGGTGGGGTATCTTTCATCAACAAATCATCCAAAAAACACACATCACTTCTGCATCTCCTGAATCCTGACCGTGACCCTCTTCTCCGGCTTCGTCCCGTCTTTGCGCTTCTTCCCCACGTTCGCCAGCCGCGCCAGCACGTCTTCCGGGTCGATGCCTACGGCGGCGCCCGGCGCGACGTGCACGACGAGGTCGATCCGCGCGCGCTTCTTGTCTGGGTCTATGGTCTCTTTGGCTTCGAATCTGTGGTGTTGATGTCAGTATATGTCCTCACAGCACTGTGGAAGAGGGGAATACACACCTCAAAGTCGACTCCAATTCCTCCACGTTCTTGGGCCACGCCGGCACCAAGTCCACAATCACAGCCGCGACAGCTCCCAGATACTCGGCCCAGAACACGCTCTCCAGCTTCGCCTCCGCGACGAGCCCCTTCAGATTCCCGTACAGCTGCGCATCGATCGGGCCCAGGTTCGACCCCCACCGCGCGCACACCGTCAGGCCCAGCACCGCTCTCGCCAGGTGCGTCAGCCCGGGGGCGCTCGGGTCTCTGGTCACCGTCTCGTGCAGCGCGTACGACGCGTTGGCGTCGTCGTCCTCGCCCTGGTGGATCCAGATCTGCTTCGCAAACAGCGGGCCGAGCCCGAGCGAGAAGACGGTCGGCGTGCGCGAGATGTCGACGTTCTTGGGCACCGCTCCGTACAGCGTGCGCAGCACCGCCCCCGCGACGGCGAGCTCGCCGTCCTCCTCGCCCGAGTAGCTCTGCAGCGCGAAGCCGGCGAGCGCCTCTAGCGGGTTGCTCTCGCGCACGCTCTTGGGGAGCTTCATGAGCAGGGCGCCGTCGCGGTTGGAGCCGCCGCAGAAGGTGACGGTGCGCAGGTGCGGGACGGTGCGGATGAATGCCTCGACGACCTCGATGATGGCGGGGAACTGCTGGCGGCGGCGCTTCGACATGCCGTAGATCTTGCCCTCGTGCTCGCGGTTGACGCGGCGCATCTTCTCCGTCTGCTTGAAGAACTCGCCCGTCACGGTGTAGGTGCCGACCGAGGGGATCGGGTATGGCTGGATGGGGTCGTTGTGCTGGAGCATGCACCCGTAGCCGCGGAAGCCGCC